TGGGAGCTATGACCAATTATGGACCGATCCGGAAAAAAATTCCGTAGACTGATTTATGTATATACAGAACATATTAATGTTGAATTTTATCCCGATAGCTTTATTTATCAATAAAATATGTTCATTTAAGTGATATTCGAAAGTAGACCTTATATGGGAACTATGACCAATTGTGGACCGATACAGATCTAAGTCCGTAGTTTTGATTTCTGTTCATATAATGTCAATATGTACAAAATTTTGTGTTGATATCGATATATTTGAGGAAGTTATTAACGATAAATTAAGTTCCGGGAATATGTACCTTTGTATGGGGGCTATGGGAAATTTTGGATCGATTGTTACAATTTTAAACATAATTAATCTTTAGATGGAAAAAATAATCTGTGATAAAATTTGTCGAATTATTTTTGGTAGTTTCTGAGAAAACTACTCCAGAATTAGGGAAAAAAAACTTAATTTTTTTTAGGTAGTCTGAAAATTTTGCTCATAACTTTTTACGTTGTGAACCGATTTTGCTGATTTTCAATACCAAACTGGTAAACAATGAATATTCTCAGTGAATATGGTTGATGTCATTTGCTTAGTTTTAACGTGAGCGTGTTTTAACCAGACAGACAGACAGACGGACATAGCTAAATCGACTCAGAATTTCATAAGAACCCAGAATATATATACTTTGTTGGGTCTCAGATGAATATTTTTTGGTGTTACACACGGAATGACAAACTTATATATACCCTCTATCACCACTGATGGTGGTGGAGGGTATAAAAAAGACCGTTATAGACAGTTATAAAAAAAGAGACCGTTAATACCTCACACGTGATCCTACGTGACATTCACACGATAGTCAATCGTTTGCCGTAATCTGTTACGAAACCTTCTGTGTTCTTTTGGTGATCTACGATGCCGCCTCTACTAGCTCAGTCTTCGGCGTGGGATCTCAACCCGCATCTACACCAACTGTGGTTCGTCACAACAAAAAAAATAAATATCTAACTACCTAACTTCACTCAATTTCATTTCCATATAACACAAACATTTATAAATTATGGGTAAAGATGTTAATCCCATCTTCGTCGCCCACCCTACCTTGGTCACTTATCCTATTAATGACCCCTTTCATATTCTTGTTCTTATACACATATTTAACAACTCACCATATCACCAACTTACACATCTTCGGCCCACTGTACCTGTAACTGCACAAAATTTAGCAACACATTTTTATAACAAAATTTCTTTTCAAATCACATTTATTACATTTAATACTTAAAATAAACATCAATATAACTTAAACTAACAGGTATGATTTCTATATATATAGCAAAAGGTCTTTTAAAATTCAAATTGTCAAAATACGTTATTTTTTTTAAAATTATTTATATTCTTAGTTAATTGCCTAATAATTATTTCATCTTTTGTTTCCGGGGTTTCTAGCTAACATAAAGAACATTTAAGTTCAAACGAACGGTTACTTTAACCAATAATAATTTTTCTTTTTCTAATTTTCCTTTTTTTTTATTTGAAATAGCTCATAAAATTTCGCTTTCTCCAATTGTTTTCAATTGTTTTAACCAAACAATGAAAATCGACACACGCTATTTATTCAGTTTTTCTATAAACTTGAATAATAGAATGGGTTTTCAAGATTTAAGTAAAATTTTTTTTCTTTTTTTGTTTCCTATATAAGGATGATATTAAAAACTAATTTCTTTTCTAATACTAAACTTAATCTATATAAAATTAATGACTAAACAAAAAAAAAACATTTAACCTATACAAATAACACAATCAAACTAAATAAGGATCAACTAAAACAACTTTTCTATTGAGTTTCAAAACTTTACTCACTATTTTAAAACGTTAAATTTCTATATATTTTTTTTTTTGCAAATCCCTAAAGGAGCTCCCTGAAGGATGAATCTTTTGAGGCTCTAATATACTATTCCTCGCCTTCTTTTTTTTCGAAAATTACTATTATTGTATTTAGTTCGATCCCTTCACAAACAAAGAAAATATCAAACTTAACAATTATATTTCTTAAAAATTAAAAGCCTAAACTTATTCTAAACAAATTAATTATATATAACTTAACCTAACCTAACTCGTATTACCCTAATGCCTTTTTGCTATAAAGTCAATTTTATTTTGTGGAACGTATTCGCAGGTTCTGATTCTGATTAATGGTTCTGATCCAGGGTTTCTTATAGAATTACTTTTCAACTCAAATAATGTGACTTGTAGATGATGTGTGTTATTATACCACTACTGGGCTACCAATATAATTTTAAATATATATATATAAAGAACAGTATTACCTCCAAATTTGAATTTGAATATTCTACTCCCAGAATAGGTGTCGTATGGACTTTTCCGCAAGGTTCATGAGTTATTCTCATACAATTTCCCATCTGCTTGTCCTATGACACGTTTCTATTTTATTAAATATAAAAAAATATTCATCATTTCAAAACTAATCACCTTATTTTACTCTAACGTTTTTATTTTTTTTCTTTTTACTCACTGGTTTCTTTGAATATTCACTATTTCTGGTATATTTGGAAGGCACTTGTACCTGTTGTCAATATATTCTTGAACAGTTTATATTCAATATGTTCACCTTATTGTTATATTTAAATGTAATTGGTACACACTTGTTTCACTTCTGAGTTACTTTCTATATCTGATTGAAATTAACTTTAATTTTCCTAAAAAACCACACAAGAAAGTAACGGACAATTTGTACAAACAAATATTATATATAAAAAAAAAACAACGTTTTCTTTTAAAAAAAGAGACCGTTAATACCTCACACGTGATCCTACGTGACATTCACACGATAGTCAATCGTTTGCCGTAATCTGTTACGAAACCTTCTGTGTTCTTTTGGTGATCTACGATGCCGCCTCTACTAGCTCAGTCTTCGGCGTGGGATCTCAACCCGCATCTACACCAACTGTGGTTCGTCACAACAAAAAAAATAAATATCTAACTACCTAACTTCACTCAATTTCATTTCCATATAACACAAACATTTATAAATTATGGGTAAAGATGTTAATCCCATCTTCGTCGCCCACCCTACCTTGGTCACTTATCCTATTAATGACCCCTTTCATATTCTTGTTCTTATACACATATTTAACAACTCACCATATCACCAACTTACACATCTTCGGCCCACTGTACCTGTAACTGCACAAAATTTAGCAACACATTTTTATAACAAAATTTCTTTTCAAATCACATTTATTACATTTAATACTTAAAATAAACATCAATATAACATAAACTAACAGGTATGATTTCTATATATATAGCAAAAGGTCTTTTAAAATTCAAATTGTCAAAATACGTTATTTTTTTTAAAATTATTTATATTCTTAGTTAATTGCCTAATAATTATTTCATCTTTTGTTTCCGGGGTTTCTAGCTAACATAAAGAACATTTAAGTTCAAACGAACGGTTACTTTAACCAATAATAATTTTTCTTTTTCTAATTTTCCTTTTTTTTATTTGAAATAGCTCATAAAATTTCGCTTTCTCCAATTGTTTTCAATTGTTTTAACCAAACAATGAAAATCGACACACGCTATTTATTCAGTTTTTCTATAAACTTGAATAATAGAATGGGTTTTCAAGATTTAAGTAAAATTTTTTTTCTTTTTTTGTTTCCTATATAAGGATGATATTAAAAACTAATTTCTTTTCTAATACTAAACTTAATCTATATAAAATTAATGACTAAACAAAAAAAAAACATTTAACCTATACAAATAACACAATCAAACTAAATAAGGATCAACTAAAACAACTTTTCTATTGAGTTTCAAAACTTTACTCACTATTTTAAAACGTTAAATTTCTATATATTTTTTTTTTTGCAAATCCCTAAAGGAGCTCCCTGAAGGATGAATCTTTTGAGGCTCTAATATACTATTCCTCGCCTTCTTTTTTTTCGAAAATTACTATTATTGTATTTAGTTCGATCCCTTCACAAACAAAGAAAATATCAAACTTAACAATTATATTTCTTAAAAATTAAAAGCCTAAACTTATTCTAAACAAATTAATTATATATAACTTAACCTAACCTAACTCGTATTACCCTAATGCCTTTTTGCTATAAAGTCAATTTTATTTTGTGGAACGTATTCGCAGGTTCTGATTCTGATTAATGGTTCTGATCCAGGGTTTCTTATAGAATTACTTTTCAACTCAAATAATGTGACTTGTAGATGATGTGTGTTATTATACCACTACTGGGCTACCAATATAATTTTAAATATATATATATAAAGAACAGTATTACCTCCAAATTTGAATTTGAATATTCTACTCCCAGAATAGGTGTCGTATGGACTTTTCCGCAAGGTTCATGAGTTATTCTCATACAATTTCCCATCTGCTTGTCCTATGACACGTTTCTATTTTATTAAATATAAAAAAATATTCATCATTTCAAAACTAATCACCTTATTTTACTCTAACGTTTTTATTTTTTTTCTTTTTACTCACTGGTTTCTTTGAATATTCACTATTTCTGGTATATTTGGAAGGCACTTGTACCTGTTGTCAATATATTCTTGAACAGTTTATATTCAATATGTTCACCTTATTGTTATATTTAAATGTAATTGGTACACACTTGTTTCACTTCTGAGTTACTTTCTATATCTGATTGAAATTAACTTTAATTTTCCTAAAAAACCACACAAGAAAGTAACGGACAATTTGTACAAACAAATATTATATATAAAAAAAAAACAACGTTTTCTTTTCTTTTCCCAGAGCACTTTGTACATTTGTCATATTTGGGTCATTGTACTATTGCCTTTGGCCTTGAAGTTGCCTTTTTTTATTAAGAGAAGACCTTTTATCTAACTCTCTTCCTTCCATCATATTTCCTATCCGGCAACCCTATTTTTTTAAATCATCTTAATATTTGAGTCACCTTATTGATGTTTATTTTCTTTTCTTTTTGACATGTCAACAACAAAGAATAAACATTGAACAACTAAGAAAACAAACAAAAGCGAAACAACACAATTCAACATGCAAAGACCAAAATTTCATTTACACAATTCAATAACAAAAGAAAAACCACGCACAGGAACATTCAACCCAAGAAAACTCAACACGACACCACAAAAACCTTCCACACACAAGAATCTACAAAAAAAAAAAACAACAACATGCAACCAGCACACCAGGGACCAAGAAGACCGCCCAGATTCCCAATCTACCTCAACAAAACTCTGGCGTACCCAGATGCTTCGCAGGAACGACAGTGGGAGGTAAGATTGTTTAAATCCTTCAGCGCCCAACGTAGGCTACACCCACCATTCTACATCTAAAGAGTTAGCCGGGCAATCCTCCACGAATGTTCAACCTAGGAATGTATTTCAATTTACTGTGTCTTGTATGAATATGAGTGGACCTTCCAATTTTCACAGGTACCATTTTAGTTACAAAGGACCTTAAACACTGGACGAAGAACAATATTTGTATAATCAAGGAGGAAATAATCAACACATCAATGACAAAACACAAATCTTAACCTAATATTGCACTCGTAAGTAAAAATTTGATTATTTGTCACTAATATATTGCACATTTGATCCTTATAAACTATATTGCACTTTATTATATTCATTGTTTAATATCCTTTGCGTGGAAAATACCTAATGGAGTACCTGTTAAGGTTTCCAATTCATACATATTGTTTCCTATCACCTTCACTATCCTACATTTAGTAAATTTTTTACAAAATTTAGCATTAATGTTGTTCTTAAAGTTGCTAAGTAGAAAATTTCTTTTGTAAACTTCCTGTCCAGGAACAAATTTAACTATTCTCGCCCCACGGTTATATCTTAAAGCACTTTTCTTATATGCATTATCCAGGTTCTCTTTCATTTTGTCTCTTATTAGTTTTATTCTATCAGAGTTTTCAATTATGGTTTCATTATCATCCAAAGCTTTCAATTGTCTTGCTAACTTGTAGTCCGAACCGCAAGTGAACATATTTTGTCCAAACAACGCGAAGAATGGACTACAACCTGTTGCAGAATGCCAAGATGTGCGCAAAGACAACTCAATATCCGGTAAGTTAATATCCCATTCCCTGTGATCATTTTCCATATATGCTCTGATGGCAGACAAAACACTCTGATTTACTCTCTCAGAAGCGTTTGATTGTGGAGAGTAAACAGCAGTTTTTAGATGTGTTATCTGATATGTTTCAATCATTCTCGCAAATTCTTTGGAAGTAAATTGTTGTCCATTGTCTGAATGAATAACCTCTGGTACACCAAATATATGGAAAACTTGATCTTTTAGAAATCTCACAACATTTGCCGTTGTAGCTTCTCTCATTGCCTTTAAAAATACGAACTTGGTCATATGATCAACTACTATGAAAATATAAGCATTTCCGCTTTTAGATCTTGGATATTTACCAAGAAAATCAATGTAAATCTTTTGAAAAGGTCTATCTGTTGTTACTTGTTTTCCTATTTCCGGTCTCAATATAGTATTTGTAGGTTTCGTTTCCTTACAGATTGTACAATTTCTTATATAATGTTTGACCTGAGTTACCATATTAGGCCAGTAGTATTTTGTTCTTAAACGTTGTAAGGTTTTGTTGATACCTCCGTGAGCTTTGTCTTCTGGTTCATGAGATTCACTAATCAGTATGTGTGTTAATGAACTTGGAATCCATAATTTCCACTCAAATTCTTGTAGTTCATAATCAGTTATATTTCTCTTAAATACTAAGTCATTCATTATCTTTATATCCGGCAATTTCTCTTGATTTTTCCTAACAGTATCTAATAAATCTTTGTACTCATCCGACTCGAATTCTAACGTTTCAAAACCTAATATTTTTCCTCTATCTATTTCTATTGACTCAACCAATCTTGATAACGTGTCTGCTACAATGTTCTCTGCTCCCTTACAATGTTCAATTTCAAAATCATAACTTTGTAACTGCAAAGCCCATCTAGCTAACCTTCCATTTAAATCTTTTAGTGACATCAGCCACTTTAAGCTAGCATGGTCTGTTATCACCGTAAAAGGCATCAGTTCAATGTATGGTCTGAACCTTTTAATGGCTAGGACAGCAGCTAAGCATTCCTTTTCGGTAACGCTGTAGTTTTTTTGTGCTTCTATGAGCTTTTGTGAAAAAAATGAAATGGGTTTTTCGTTGCCGAACTCGTCCTTTTGGAACAACACTGCTCCTACCGCATAATCCGAAGCGTCGCATTGCACGAAAAATCGCTTGTTGAAATTCGGATGTGCCAATACAGGTGCTGTTGTTAACGCATTTTTCAACTTGTTAAAACTCTCGATTGCCTTTTCTGTCATTTCAAATTTAGTTCCTTTCTTTATGAGATCAGATAGTGGTGCGGTTAAAGAAGAGAAGTCGCGAATAAAGCGGCGGTACCAACCCGCCGTACCTAAGAAACTGCGGATTTCTTTTACGGATTTAGGCAACGGTATATTTCGGATTGCTTCTATTTTCTTGGGATCCGTTTTCATAATTCCTCCTCCTACGATAAATCCTAAATAATTAAGTTCTTTAAAACAGAATTTTGATTTGCTTAGGCCAATGGTTAGGTTTGCCTTGTTTAAACAATCTGCTACTTTCTCTAACAACTCTAAATGTTTATCAAAGTCTGCTGATATGATCAACAAATCATCTAGATAGGTGAAAACATTCTGCCTTAACTCTTGCGGTATAACCCTATCCATTAGCCTACACAGTCTTTGCGCCGCGTTGCATAAACCAAATGGCATTACAACATATTGGTATAGTGGTCGGCCTGGAATCGTAAAAGCTGTGTATGTTCTCGATTTCTCTTCCAGTTTGATTTGCCAGAAAGCGAATTTTAAATCGACACTGCTGATATAAAAGGTCTCGTCAAGTCTACTTAGAATTCCCTCAATGTTTTGTATGGGATAAGCATCCTTGATTGTCCTGTCGTTTAATTTCCTAGCATCTAGACATAGTCGATTTTTTTCTGGTTTTCTAACTAGAGTACATCTATTGCTCCAAGGACTGTTGCTCTCTTCTATAATACCTAATTTCAACATATTATCTACTTCGGCATATATTAATTCCTGAACAGCCGGTGATACCGGATAGTATCTATCCTTGACTGGTGTTGTGTTATCTATAAGCTCAATAGTGTGAACTTCTAGATTAGTTCTACCTAAACCATCTCTCTCAAAAGTTCGAAATTTGTTTACAACATTTACTAACTTATCCTTTTGTCGAGCAGTTAGTTCATGTTGTTCTACATCTTTCAATTCAAGAGGATAATGGTCCTTCAATTTATCAAATTGTATTTCCGATAATTGAAACAAATTTGGGGCTATATTGAATTTCGTCCAGAAATCTACACCTAAATAAGCATTTTGTATTAAATTAGGACATAAGTAGAATTCTATTATATTCTTTTTTTCATTATATTCTACCATAACATCAATTTTCCCCAGAACTTGATAGTGTTTTCCACCTGCAGTTTGTATGTTAGCAAAAGTTGGTTTTATTGGACTATTTAGCTTGTCTATAATCTTCTCGCAGTCTTTTCCAAGCAGACTTATCGAGGCTCCACTATCCAAGAGACCTTTTACTAATATATTCTCTAATTTTATCTCAACAAAGGCTCTAGGATCGATATCATAGTTGTTTATATCATCACATTTTCTGATTACATTGCCTATTTCATCACAAAGTGCTTTTTTACTTTTAAATCTTTTCCTAGTTCTTTTGATTCTATCCAGTTTTGTATTGTCATTTTCCGTATTAAAAATCCTATTTCTAACTTCCATGTATCTTTTCAAACGCTCATCATATGATCCTACTATTCTTCTATTCTTATTTTCCTGTACTACTTTCATATCACTTTTCCTCACTATTATTACTTTCTCATCTTCCATTTTACTCTTTTCAGGTTCACTCACATCACATTGAATGCCTACATTGGCTGTTGTTCGGCTATAGTTTGGGTGGAGCGTGACTCCGCCGCTTTCGTCACACTCCCTATCTTGTTTCCCGAACATTTGGGACAATTAGGAGTAACAACTCCCATTAATCCGCACCTGTAGCAGAACAAGGTTCTCTGAACACTGGGACAATCGTTAAATAAGTGACCCTGTAATCTACAGTTCCAACAAAGCACCTTATCAGTATTCATATTGTTTGATTTCCGGTAAGTACTGTCCGTTTTATATTTGATTTCCTCTACTACTTCCGTTTGTTTTTCTCCCTCTAACTCCATATCAACTTCCTCAAGTTGTTTCCTAGGTGGTACGAAACGTGTTTGTGGAATGTTTGTCATTCGTCCACGGAAATAATTTCTTTCAACTTCCTTGCACGTATCTCTCAAATGCTCTACAGAAAATACCTGAACAGAATAAACTATTTGAGATATACCTTGACGTAAATTTCTTTTCAATATTCTTATAACTTCGTATTCTGGCAAGGGATTTCTAAGTCTTGACCTTAACTTTCGCATAGCCTGAAAGAAATCATCAATTGACTCTCCCGGTTGTTGTCGCCGCTCTTCAAAGTCCCTCAACCTTTCGTACTCACTTCGCACGGAACCATATTGTACTCTAAGAGCTTTCTTCAATTCATCCCATGATTCTATAGGTCTTTGTTGTACCAGTAACCAATACCAGTCTTTGGCATCTCCCTTTAGTAATTTGTGGAATTCCCCTTTAAGTTCTTGCCATGAGTAGTTGTGGTATTTGAGCATGTATTCAATACGAAATATAAAATCTTCTATATACAACTTATCTATGTTGCCATCGAAACTGATGTCCCATTTATCCACACCTATAAGATTTCTCATTGGTTTAAGTGTCCCACAAAGGTTTTGTGGAGAATCATTGCCAGGAGGCGTATTAATATTCGAAGAGGATTCTCTGAAATCTAATCTCCTTTGTGGACATGGCTGAGCTTCCGGCTTCCTCTTTGTGGGAGCTTCTTCTGTTTGTCCTGACCTTTTTTCACTTTCCTCACTAACCAAAGAATCTACACCATCACTTGTTTTCCCTGCGATACTCATTTTCTGTATTTCCCTAATCATTTTCGAAAAACCTTCCTCTAAACTTTCTCGAATTTTCAAATCTATTTTATCTTCCAGTTCTGATCTATATCCCTTAACATTTTCAGATATCAATTCACGAATAAGGCCAGCATAAGCCCTTGGGCTATTGCACGATGAAAAACCTCTTTGTGTTTGAGATATATTGGCTGGTGGAAAATTGTAGTTCTTCGGAGGAACAAAAGTTTTCGGTATTGCTCCGGTTTGTTGCCCAGAAACTGTTGTTTGTGCATGCAATAGTGGATCGTTTGATGGGTGAGTTTGTGGTGTTGAAATAGTTTCCGACATATCAAAAAATGTTCCTGTTTCCCTAGGTTCCCTATCGGCGTTCATTGGCGTTCTCCCTAATGGCATTTTAGTAATCTTTCTTTTAAAAATTCTAATTTATTGGTTTTTTTTTTTATACTTTCTGTATTTTAAAGAAATAAGTATCTTAAAAATATAATAAATAAATACATAAATTAATGAACGATACTAATGAACTAACATAAATAAAACATAAATGAAAACAATATACATATACTTAATTATATTTTTAGAAAGTTCACTTTTTTTAATAAAGCACGATTACAACATAAAATTCACACAATACAAAACTAATTTTTGACATAAAATTACATAAAATACAATTAACATTTAATACTACACTAATTAAACAAAATTAAAATAAAATTACACAAAACACAGATGACACAATAAGGTTACAAAATTTTCACAAAGAAATTACAAAAATTTATAATACTATCAAAAAATATATTTTAAAATTTTACAAAACACTATAACATAAAATTACAGGAACAGTGGATTTCCAGTAGATGTAAAAGCTGTTTTGGTGGTTGATGTTGTAATGTTAAATATGTTTCTGACGGTATCCAAAAAAAAAATGTTGTGTTTTATAATGACTTGCTTTCATATATTTTCCCTAATGATATTGAAATTTGCAAACTAAATCTTATTTTCAAATTTAGGACATATTTCAATTTACTCAATAATATTCTCAGTACATAATGCAAACTATATTCTTGATATTAGGACATTTATACGGTGAGATTTTTATCTACATAAACAAAAAGAACTATAAACAAAATCGCAAACTAATTAATTTCCTTTTTATTAGGACAATTTTGTTTAATACCCTATATAATTTCTCCTATCTAACTTATTTATCATATGCAAACTAACCACTCTTTAGATGTTAGGACAATGACAAATATATCATGCCAAGAAATACGCAAACTAACTCTTATTTTCAACTGTTAGGACGATTTCCGTTTCAACATGATGTTGGTATTCGTTTCCGATTGGGCGCCATTTATTGTTACGAAACCTTCTGTGTTCTTTTGGTGATCTACGATGCCGCCTCTACTAGCTCAGTCTTCGGCGTGGGATCTCAACCCGCATCTACACCAACTGTGGTTCGTCACAACAAAAAAAATAAATATCTAACTACCTAACTTCACTCAATTTCATTTCCATATAACACAAACATTTATAAATTATGGGTAAAGATGTTAATCCCATCTTCGTCGCCCACCCTACCTTGGTCACTTATCCTATTAATGACCCCTTTCATATTCTTGTTCTTATACACATATTTAACAACTCACCATATCACCAACTTACACATCTTCGGCCCACTGTACCTGTAACTGCACAAAATTTAGCAACACATTTTTATAACAAAATTTCTTTTCAAATCACATTTATTACATTTAATACTTAAAATAAACATCAATATAACTTAAACTAACAGGTATGATTTCTATATATAGCAAAAGGTCTTTTAAAATTCAAATTGTCAAAATACGTTATTTTTTTTAAAATTATTTATATTCTTAGTTAATTGCCTAATAATTATTTCATCTTTTGTTTCCGGGGTTTCTAGCTAACATAAAGAACATTTAAGTTCAAACGAACGGTTACTTTAACCAATAATAATTTTTCTTTTTCTAATTTTCCTTTTTTTTTATTTGAAATAGCTCATAAAATTTCGCTTTCTCCAATTGTTTTCAATTGTTTTAACCAAACAATGAAAATCGACACACGCTATTTATTCAGTTTTTCTATAAACTTGAATAATAGAATGGGTTTTCAAGATTTAAGTAAAATTTTTTTTCTTTTTTTGTTTCCTATATAAGGATGATATTAAAAACTAATTTCTTTTCTAATACTAAACTTAATCTATATAAAATTAATGACTAAACAAAAAAAAAACATTTAACCTATACAAATAACACAATCAAACTAAATAAGGATCAACTAAAACAACTTTTCTATTGAGTTTCAAAACTTTACTCACTATTTTAAAACGTTAAATTTCTATATATTTTTTTTTTTGCAAATCCCTAAAGGAGCTCCCTGAAGGATGAATCTTTTGAGGCTCTAATATACTATTCCTCGCCTTCTTTTTTTTCGAAAATTACTATTATTGTATTTAGTTCGATCCCTTCACAAACAAAGAAAATATCAAACTTAACAATTATATTTCTTAAAAATTAAAAGCCTAAACTTATTCTAAACAAATTAATTATATATAACTTAACCTAACCTAACTCGTATTACCCTAATGCCTTTTTGCTATAAAGTCAATTTTATTTTGTGGAACGTATTCGCAGGTTCTGATTCTGATTAATGGTTCTGATCCAGGGTTTCTTATAGAATTACTTTTCAACTCAAATAATGTGACTTGTAGATGATGTGTGTTATTATACCACTACTGGGCTACCAATATAATTTTAAATATATATATATAAAGAACAGTATTACCTCCAAATTTGAATTTGAATATTCTACTCCCAGAATAGGTGTCGTATGGACTTTTCCGCAAGGTTCATGAGTTATTCTCATACAATTTCCCATCTGCTTGTCCTATGACACGTTTCTATTTTATTAAATATAAAAAAATATTCATCATTTCAAAACTAATCACCTTATTTTACTCTAACGTTTTTATTTTTTTTTCTTTTTACTCACTGGTTTCTTTGAATATTCACTATTTCTGGTATATTTGGAAGGCACTTGTACCTGTTGTCAATATATTCTTGAACAGTTTATATTCAATATGTTCACCTTATTGTTATATTTAAATGTAATTGGTACACACTTGTTTCACTTCTGAGTTACTTTCTATATCTGATTGAAATTAACTTTAATTTTCCTAAAAAACCACACAAGAAAGTAACGGACAATTTGTACAAACAAATATTATATATAAAAAAAAAACAACGTTTTCTTTTCTTTTCCCAGAGCACTTTGTACATTTGTCATATTTGGGTCATTGTACTATTGCCTTTGGCCTTGAAGTTGCCTTTTTTTATTAAGAGAAGACCTTTTATCTAACTCTCTTCCTTCCATCATATTTCCTATCCGGCAACCCTATTTTTTTAAATCATCTTAATATTTGAGTCACCTTATTGATGTTTATTTTCTTTTCTTTTTGACATGTCAACAACAAAGAATAAACATTGAACAACTAAGAAAACAAACAAAAGCGAAACAACACAATTCAACATGCAAAGACCAAAATTTCATTTACACAATTCAATAACAAAAGAAAAACCACGCACAGGAACATTCAACCCAAGAAAACTCAACACGACACCACAAAAACCTTCCACACACAAGAATCTACAAAAAAAAAACAACAACATGCAACCAGCACACCAGGGACCAAGAAGACCGCCCAGATTCCCAATCTACCTCAACAAATCCTACGTGACGTTATCTATGTGTAAACAAATTTCCAATTGGAACAATTGGGAATTTGTTGTTTTGTTTGGATAACTCAAACAAAATTGTAAATTTGTTACAAGAGATGTAACAAATTAAATAGATTTCTTTCGATTTGTAATTTATTTCAAAGAACCTGAAATATACTTACTTCTCTTTCGATAGCTGTGGGACTCAGTAAAAAAAAGGAATTAAGAAGTTTTGTGTTGTTGTAATTCAGTTTGTTGTTTATTGTGGTTAAAATTCAATTTGTTTGTTTTATTTAATTTTAGGTTTGTAGTGCGTTACAATTTGTTTTAAATGTTTTGTTAATTGTATTAATTTTTGGATTTTAGTTTTTAAGTAAATATAGGTGTGTGTGTGTGTGTGGGAATCACTGCACTGCACTGGGTTTTATTATTTTTGTTTAAATGTTTTCCTTGTTTGTGTAAATGTTCGTTTAATTGTTTGTTTTCATAAACGTTTGTAATTTGTTTTGTTTAAATTGTTTGGTTTGTGTGTTTTTTTTTTTTTTTTGGTTTTTAATTTAAATAATTTGGCCGCTGGCGCTCGGGTTTTCATCGAAGACTGACTTCTTCGTCCTCCTTAGCCGCGAAAGTATGGCTTGGGCCGTACTTACACCGCCGCTGAATAAGTGGCCGATGCGGCTTAGTCGAGGTCGATCAAGTCGTTGCCAGATCGATCCTCGACATCACGCCCCTCTTGCACTGGTGCAATGTTTAATGCCCCCGACAACTGACCCACAGCTGCAACAATCTGTTGTACCATTTTGGGTAACTGCAACAGGTTGACGACGGCGTGGTTGGGGACGACGACTTTGTACCAGCTGACGGCGACGTTGAGGTTGTTGCTGACGCGACGTGAAGATTGCATCTGCTGGCGAGGTTGTGGTCGACGACGTTGTTGTTGTTGTTGTTGTTGACGTTGTTGTGGTTGTTGTTGACGTCGTTGTGGTTGTTGTTGGAGACGTTGTTGTTGTTGGAGACGTTGTCGTTGGGACCGCTCAGGATGCAACATGGTGTGATGCAAATCTCCACACTCCTGGCAGGCCTCCATTGAAATACATCCTCCGACTAGATGCGTGCGGGCGAAGCAATTGGAACAATAGCGATGGACCCGAACGACATATTGTCTTTGTTTACCGTCATCTTCTTAAACTGCTTGCAGTAGCGAAGAGGGTGGTAGCGGAAACAGACTAGGCACATTTCAGACTCTGGGAACTGATCCATCTGCAAAGGGAAAAGAAGAACAAAACAAAGCAGCAGTAATGGGTTCGCTAACACAAATTTGAACAATTTGAACAGAACATATAGGACATACAGAAAATACAATCCTAGTCAATCTACTGACTTATCACAAATCGGAAGCATGCAAAGTTTGACTATTGGTCTGGTAACGGTTCCAGACGCTGTTCGGACGTCAGCTACACGAACGCGTTTATCTTTTCCAGTATGGACAAATCAATTCGTCCCATCTTCCACTCATTTGGAGGTAGGAGCTCATCCTTTATGACAACAAAGTCATCTTTCTGCAAATCCCGCTGTGGGTTTTTCCACTTGTAACGCTTGTGAAGTTCATGAAGATATTCAGTCTTCCAGCGTTGACTAAGTCGATGATGAAAAGCCTTGAGCCGCTCCCATCGGTTTATTATCGATAAATTCTCTGAAGGCAGTTCAGGGGCGAACATCAATGGAGCTCCTCTTAAAAAGTGACCAGGAGTTAGGGCTTGTAAATCTTCAGGATCCTCGGACATTGCGGAAATAGGTCTGGAGTTTAGGACACTTTCAGTTCGGGTTAATAGAGTCGAAAACTCTTCAAAGTTAAACTTTTGGTTGCCAGCTATTTTCTGAAAGTGAATCTTAAAACTTTTTACACCAGCCTCCCAAAGACCTCCCATATGTGGAGCACTAGGAGGAATGAACTTCCACTCAAACCCATGGACTGCATATTTTTTACTTATATCTTCAGCTGATTTTCGTAAAAATGAGAGAGATTCCTTTCGCAACGATCTACTGGCGCCGAGAAAATTTGTGCCATTATCGGACATAAGGCGTTTAGGCAACCCCCTTCTACCCGTAAATCGTACGAAAGCTGCTAAAAACGCGTCGGAGGATAAGCTAGAGCACGCTTCCAGATGTATAGCTTTTGTTGAAAAGCAAAAAAAAAAAAAAAATACAAGCGTATCCTTTCATATAAGGAGAGTTTCGCAAGTTACCTGATTTTATCTGAAAATGTCCCGCAAAATCAACACCCGCATAAGTGAATGGTAAAGAAAAGGAGCATCTTTCCGGGGGAAGAGCTGCCATAATCTGAGACTTCAGCTTTTGCTTATAACGGACGCACACTAAACAATGGTGAACACATTTTTTAACAGTTCTTTTAAGTCCTGGTATATAGAATTGATTTTGAATTGCATTCATCATTAGGGAAATGTCAGCATGCAACAGAGTTTTATGAGTAAAGTCAAGAAACATTCTACAGAAGTTAGACGAGTTTGGAATAATGAAAGGGTACCTTTCATCATAGGTTAGGCATGAATTGGCTAATCTACCGTTAACTCTCATAGTTCCATTCGAATCCAGAAATGGGTTCAAAGTGAGAATAGAACTTTTCTTTGAAATTAGTTTCGCATCAGAGAGCTGACTATACTCCTGGGGATAATAAACTCGTTGAGTTAGTTTGATCAGCATAACTTTTGATTCTTTAAGCTCCGTAAGGCTAAGAGTCAAACTAGAATGCTGAACCTTTAAACCTTTCTTCCTGATAGCGTTAATAAACCTGAGCACGTAAGCTGTAACAGCAAGAGCTCGAGGATAAGAGGAGAATCTATCGATTATACTGTTGTCAGCCGGTGTTGAAAAACAGACTGAAATCCTCCTTTTTCCGGAAGAGCGTCAGGTAGAGAACTATATTTGGGCCAATTTGCTTGGGAATCCAAGAGCCACATTGGTCCATACCACCACAATGGGTTGTTAACAAGATCTTGTGGTTTACAACCGCGAGTGCCAAGATCAGCTGGGTTGTGATCCGTTGGAACGTGATTCCAACTGGCATTACCAACATTCTCTATAATCTGAGTTGTTCTGTTAGCTACATACGTTTTCCAGACTGATGGAGGTTTTTGTAGCCAAGCTAAAACTATGGTTGAGTCTGACCATAAGTAAAGCTTTGGGCTGCAGAATGGAAGGTTCGTAAGTACTTGCTTTACGAGTCTGGAAAGCAGAAGAGCTCCGCATAACTCAAGTCGAGGTAAACTTATCCGTTGCAAGGGGGCAACTTTACTTTTAGCAGAAAGCAGATGTGAATACCGAATACCAGAGTTCTCGGATACCACATATAGTGTAGCGCAATAAGCCTGCTCAGAAGCGTCACAAAATCCATGTATTTGGATATTATATTGAGGATGGTATTGGATCCATCTTGGAATTTCAATGGATTCGATAGTAGGGAAACTGTCAACAAATATTTTCCATTTATCAAGAAATTGTGGTTTGACCTCGTCATCCCAACCGACCCCGTCTTGCCATCATTCTTGTAAAAGAATCTTGGCTTGAATAGTAATAGGCGTAAGCCATCCTGCGGGATCGAAAAGTTTAGCAACAGCAGAGAGAATCTGCCTTTTTGTTGCCGATGATGTCGAATTTAATTGTTCTACTTTATAAGTGAAGGAATCACTTATAGCATTCCAACAAATTCCCAAAGTTTTTGTTGAACTTGAATCATAGAATTTCAAAAATTCTGTGTTCAATAAATCATCAGATGATATCTGAGACAACAAATCTGGATGATTTGCCGTTATCTTTTTTAATGGGAACCCTGCTGATTTTAAAGTATCAATCAGCTGTTTTTGAGCTTCCATTGCCGATGACAATGAATGGCCTCCGGACAATATGTCGTCAACATATGTCTCTTTTCTCAAAATTCTTGCAGATAAAGGACTATCTTTTTCAGAATCTGATGCTAATTGTAGAAGGGTCCTAATTGCCAAATAAGGTGCACATGCTATACCGAAAGTTACCGTTGTCAACTCAAAATCTTCAATTGGACTTGAAATATTTTTTCGAAACAAAATTTTTTGATACGAACGATCAGATTCATGAACTAATATTTGACGATACATTTTCTCAATGTCTCCATTAAAGACATACTTATATAAACGCCAATTTAGAATGACTGTCATTAAATCTGCCTGTAAGGTTGGTCCGACGTGGAGAACGTCATTTAATGACCTTGAACTTTTTGTCTTTCGTGATCCGTTGAAAACGATACGAACTTTTGTTGATGCACTTTCAGGTCTAAAAACCGCATGATGTGGCAAATAATATGAAAAGAACTTTCCATTATGACAAATTTCTTGAGAATTTGATTTCTTCATGTGACCGAGAGAAATATATTCATTCAAGATGTCATTATAAACTTGCATAAGCGTGTCATGTTTTTCAAGCCTTTGTTCAATATGTAAATATTGCTTCTTTGCCAAATATCGAGACGCTTGCAAAAACTCAGATTCTGGGAATTCATTTTTAAACGGAAGTTTAACCACATATCTACCATCGGACTGTCGAGAAGTTGTCTCTTTATATAGATTTTCACAAATGAGATCTGCTTCTGATTGATTAGCTATTTGCGGAATTTCCTCTATTTCCCAGAACTTTCTTAATATTGAGCTAATACTTTCATTTTCGCTTTGTAAGTTGTCTATGGCCGTAAGTGAAATTGTGTGCAATTTCATTGGACCGTAAATGTACCAGCCATAAATAGAATTCTGAGCAATTAAATTACCCAAAACGTTTTTCCTTAGTCCATCAAGTATGATGTGAGGAATTATGTCACTTCCTAGCAGCATGTCTATTTGAGCAGATACTAAGAAATTCGGATCAGCTAAGCATAAGTCTCTGACGTCGGAGAGTTCAGAAATTTCTATTGAACAGCTAGGCATAAAATTTGTCAAATTGGAAACAATTATGACTTTTGTTGTTAACTTGAATTCATGCCTTTGATTGTATAAAGTAATAGAACTTACTTTATTAGCATTAGCTACTACTGTACCACCCAATCCGCAGATTTCGAAATTTGCATTTTCCGTAATCAGGTTTAGCCTTTTTGAAATTCTACTAGTCAGGAATGATCTTTTTGAACCAGAATCTATCAGTGCTCTGACTGTAAATGGCTCACCACAGTGTAAAATTTGAACAAGCGCTGTGGGAAGTAAGATATCATCCTGATTAACGGTTAAGTGGGTCTGAGTGTTAGTTGCTTGTGTAGTTGATTTGTAACAACATGGATTTCGTGAGAGCTCAGTACTTTCTTCTGCGTCTTCATTCTCTATATCTATCGGATCCGCATGGAAAGCGACCGACGAATTTTTCTTAGTAATCTTTTTTTGAGAATTTTGATTATCATTTTTATTCAAATGTAACATGCTGTGATGTTTATTACCACATTGATCACATCTGTTTACACTTGTACACTCAGAAACTTTATGAACTGGGGATAAACAGTTAATGCACAGTTGATTTTGTGCGACAAAATCGTTTCGTTGCTGTTTAGAGAAGTTTGAAAATTTTTGACAAAATCTTAAGTAATGATTTTTGTCGCATAACTTACAATTAGGCACCCGAAGGGCTTTGTTATTTTTCTGCCTATTGGAATTATTCATTTTCATTTGATAATGAATAATTCATTTGATTTATTTACAATAGAACTTGCTTCACCTTTTGCCTTTCTTCTTAAGTACAATAACTTTTGTACGTCTGGCATTCTTATTTTGCTGATGTAAACAGCACTGAACATGTCTCTAAATGAAGGCCACTCTTCATAGGAACCATGAAAGTCAGGTGCATCGCATGGTGGAACGTTGACACCCATATCTGGCGCTTCATAAGTCATGTTTAGTGGATGGTAACTAGATGGATCAAATGCTGAGGAATGAGAAGGACCACTGTCTCTTTGATTGTTTTCAGCGGAAGCTTTGGACATTTTTATAAAATCTATCATCTCAGCTTTGGTCTCTTGATACCTATCCCTACCTATCGCTTTATAATCTGGGCTGACGATTCCGTCATCAGCCATATATACGCCTTCATAAGCACGGCGTTTGCAGTTTTGCCTCTAAAAGAGATTCAGTCAAATCATCACAACCTAGACTTGAAAATTTATTGCAAACACCCATTAAATTTTCTGATTCGTGAATGAATCTAGTACATATTTGGGAACCCATTGTACTTATTTTCTTTTACTATAAACAAAGGAATGTGACTTTTTAGTGAACCCAAAAATAATATGTAATGAAAATTACTATATGACAGTAGAAAAGTACAAAACGAACTATGTACGGAAAGTATTAAATACTGTATGTAGGGTACCTGTAGTAAAATATTTCTAAAGTGACTGACAGCTGACACTATATAATCAAATATTAATTGAAGAATTCCAATAAAATTTACAATTTCAATATGTATCAAAACGAACCTTGAATTAAAAATGCCTATTCGAAAAATAGTAGGGTGTATTTTAATAAAGAAAAATTAACACCGAAATATATAAAATTAATTTTATATAAATTATTAAAAAAACAAACTCAGCGTTGTACTAATATTATCAGCCTGTAAAGTGTAGGGTACACAATTAACTGTAACAACAATTACACTACTGATAAATAATTTTCTCTTATTTTCTTTTATGCTTTATTCTTCTTGATATAGTTGAGTATTATCGTATGTAAATTATATTATGAGAATTTTAATGAGAATAAAGCTAGTAAATAAAAGAAAAAACCACCACCAAATGTACTAATCTACACACAATATTTTAAGAACAAAATAATGTGAAATCGAAATAAATCTTTGTTGTAATAAACGATTTGCAAAATAAAGGGAATAAATTCAAAATTTATTTTTTTTTATTTTAATGAAATTAAAAATTTTTATTTTGCCGATTCTTGACGGTTTCAAAAGGACCATAAACAAATTTCCAATTGGAACAATTGGGAATTTGTTGTTTTGTTTGGATAACTCAAACAAAATTGTAAATTTGTTACAAGAGATGTAACAAATTAAATAGATTTATTTCGATTTGTAATTTATTTCAAAGAACCTGAAATATACTTACTTCTCTTTCGATAGCTGTGGGACTCAGTAAAAAAAGGAATTAAGAAGTTTTGTGTTGTTGTAATTCAGTTTGTTGTTTATTGTGGTTAAAATTCAATTTGTTTGTTTTATTTAATTTTAGGTTTGTAGTGCGTTACAATTTGTTTTAAATGTTTTGTTAATTGTATTAATTTTTGGATTTTAGTTTTTAAGTAAATATAGGTGTGTGTGTGTGTGTGGGAATCACTGCACTGCACTGGGTTTTATTATTTTTGTTTAAATGTTTTCTTTGTTTGTGTAAATGTTCGTTTAATTGTTTGTTTTCGTTTAATTGTTTGTTTTTTTTTTGGTTTTTAATTTAAATAATTTGGCCGCTGGCGCTCGGGTTTTCAGTCGAAGACTGACTTCTTCGTCCTCCTTAGCCGCGAAAGTATGGCTTGGGCCGTACTTACACCGCCGCTGAATAAGTGGCCGATGCGGCTTAGTCGAGGTCGATCAAGTCATTGCCAGATCGATCCTCGACAATGTGTTTAATGTTTTTTGTATTAACAGAATTTGTAAATTAAAAACCAATAATAATGAAAATTTTATAATCGTTATAATATTTAAAATTATTATACTATAAACAAATTTTGATTACTAATTTATATTACTACATTATTCAAATCCTACATACTAATTTAAAACTATGAAGAAAAAATATTCCATTTAAAAATATTAACTAAAATTATTATTGAGTTTTAATGAAATCATAGTTTTTTTTATTTACAAAAATTTCTAGCTAAATGCTTAAAATATAAATATTTTAAAAGGTATTTTTAAAATCACATCGTATTCGCTAGAAATACCATTAAACAAACATATAAAGCGAATGATTTAATTATTTTTTTAGAATATGCATATATAGTCCATATTTTTTCCAAATTTTGCTAACTACATAAATGAACCATAATTAATTCATTCAAGAAAAACCGTTATTTACTAACAAATTAAAAAAATAACAAACAAAGCAAAATATTTATAGATAATAAAAATATTAATAGTTATAAAAGATACAAAAAAATACCAAAAAAAAAGATAAACAAAAAAAAAATATGTATAAATATTTATTTTATACTAGGTAAATACTATATAGGGACATTATCCAAAAATAGTAATTTGTACCAACAGGCTGGAATGATGTCACGGATGGCTAGTAAAAGTCATAGTGGGAGGGCAGCCTGCGCAGGAATACACCATCTAATTCTGGAGACTTGTGTCCTTTAGTGTCCACCAAATAATTTTGTCCTATCGTCCCATGTCCGTCCGAAATGTATATCAGGTGATTCTTATTTATTGACCGCTTTGCTTATATTCTTTTATTTAACCCCTCACCTATCTGGCACGAATTTTTTTATTTGTGATTAAACTAAACGGAAAACAACCCCCCCCATTTCCGGCGAGCTCCAGCCGCAGCGACCACCAGCGTAATTTGCCAATGAAAAAGTTTAAACATATGTATATATTTAAATCTCTCATTACTGAATTTTTAAAGGTAGACAAGCGACAATTGTCTCTCTAAACTCCTATACTACCACTTCCCTATTAGTTAGACAATGCAAGAAGGATCTGTCCTTGTTATTGTTTGGGTATAAATGGAATAACCTAGGCACATGTAAAGGGGCCAAGTCATTGTGGCCTCCTTTCAATGAGAAACGCACAAGACACTTTATAACCCGAAATACGCGGAATATATCGAGTTTGATAGCTCCTTGGGCACCTTTTCAATGAGTACTGTCAAAGTTGCAAAGACAGGGAAAAGGATGAAACGGTCTTCCATCTTCTCTGTGAATGACCTGCTTTAGCCGCAAAGATAAACTGTTTTTTTTGGCAGTTACTTCATAGCAACCTTGGTAAGATATGTGGATCTATGCTTAATGATATTCTGAGCTTTTTCACTGCTACAGGCAGGATCTAATGCTATACAATACTACAACTGACGAGAGTAGTGGTCCGGTCAAAACGGAGTCTTCGATTCTACTTAGCTGTTTGCCCGCAGTGAACTACCACATTAACCAACCAACCTTACTTAAAGGGACTGGTCCAAAACTAATCCAAATATACAAAAACATTATAAATTTAACATTGTTATGTAAATGAAGGGACATGTAATCCAAACATGCATTACATCAGACAAATTTCCAGCTACTGAAATAACTGAAACGCTTTCCACAGGCGTTGGTTTTAGAAATGCATTAAGAGAATGTCAACATTTTTGGTTCTGTTTCCTGTTGAGCTTTTATATACATAGATTTAATTTAGAATTTTTTCATTTCCTGTTGCATCATTAATGATGTTTTGTAATTTGCCTTTAAAAAAATCGTTAGTTTTTCCAAAATATGTTAAAAATACGTTAATTTAAAATTTCCCGGGAATGATTAAAAAATATCCCGGCAAATCCCGACAAACTTTTCCCGAGAATTCCCGGGAATTCCTAACCCCCAAACTCTAGTCACATGCGAAATGTAGGTACTTCTGACATATCAAACAAATGGTCACAGGTAAGCTATTCTTTAAAACTCAACAACATCCTATCCTATCCTATATATATAAAAAAGACTGTTTGTGTGTTTGTTTGTTACGCTTTCACGGCAAAACTACTGAACCGATTTACATGAAATTTGGACCGCTAATAGGCCTAAGGAACAATATGCTATATAAGATCTTGATCGGATGCCATGCCCCTTTTTACGCTCACTTTTTGTGAAACTATTATTACAACAATTTTGCAATCACAATATATATATATATATATATATATATATATATATATATATATATATATATATATATATATATATATATATATATATATATATATATATATATATATATATATATATATATATATATATATATATATATATATATATATATTACGCTTTCACGGCAAAACTACTGAACCGATTTACATGAAATTTGAACCGATAATAGGTCTAACCCCAAAAGGAACAATAGGCTATATAAGATCTTGATCGGATGCCACGACCCTTTTACGCCCACTTTTTCTATTATTACACCAATTTTGCAATCACAATATGCAAAAACTACTAAACCGATTAATTTTGCATACCGATAGGTATAAGCTTGGAAAGAACTATAGGCTATATATAAGAACTTGATCCGATGCCACGCCCCTTTCTACGCCAACTTTTTATAAAACTACCCTTACCTATATCTTATCCTATAATTATATAAAAGAGACAGTCTGTTTGTTATGCTTTCACGGACAAACTACTGAACCGATTTACATGAAATTTAGAACACTAATAGTTCTATTCTAAAGTACAACAATAGGCTAAATAAAATAATGATTTGACGTCACGATTCTTCTTATGCTCACTTTTATCTATATACATATGTAATTGTTATACAAAATTTTAATTCGAGACTAACAGAAAACTACTGAACCGATAGGTCTGATCTCAGGATCAGGATCGGACTTAACGACCCTTTTTACACCAACTTTTTGTAAAACAATTATTAAACCAAATTTACGTTCAGGCATACAAAAAACTACTGATCCGATTTTTATGAAATCTGTTATAATGAATGTTGTGGAATGAACAGTACGACACTTTACATCTTCAAAACCTATAATATATAATAATAAATATATATGAAACTCTTTTTCTACTCTTTCACTACATAACTAATAAAGTTATTGACATAAAATTTGGCGTTTAATAGGTCTAACCTCAGAAGTTAACAAGTTAGAGTGCTATATTCGGCTATGCCGAATCTTACCAGCAAGCTACCTTTTATTAAAACCCATTTAACATCTAAATTTTAGATAACTTGACTTCATATAGGTGCTACGACCAATTACGGGCCTCTCCAGAAAAAATTCAT